CAGCATTCCTCCTCTGTATGAGAAAGACCCCTTATAGTATTCTGTTTTTGGAACGTGGTCCAGTACAACATTATACTCCGCATTTCTTAGCATAGACTTATAAGGGTTGTTCTCACAGACATTCGAGAAAAGATCGCTTAAGTAACTAGGTATATTTCCATTCACTGTATCATACATTAATAGACTTAAGTACCTCTGACGCCTTGAGGCAAGCTCTTCCCAGTTTAGTTGTTTTCGTATTTGTGCTGAACGAACGTCATAACCTTGAAAGGTTATTATGCGTGCAGCACGATTTTGTAATTTCTGGATCCTAGTGGCAAGTCCCTGGTCTAAATTGTCCCAAACAACGTCGCAGTAGTCGAACACAGGCTGGATAAGAGATTTGTAAATAGTATTTAGAACATCTAATGGTACATAATCACGTGCCTGTTTTAGACCACTGATGGATCGATTGACTTTTGAACAAAGTTTGTCAACATGCTCGTTCCATTTAAGATTTTCATCTAAGTGAATTCCTAAATATTTTGTTGTTTGGACTTGTTGAGGCCAATCCTCAACAAGAGAACATTTTTTTTGTTTTCCTAGTCCGTTCCATTCCGTTTTGTAATTTATTCTCCCAGCATGCTTAGTGAGCGCGTCTCAGTGTCGTCGTGGAGCGAGAAAGAAACCATGTGCTTTGTAACGCGCTAGTCGCCGGGAGTTTCTCATCGTATGGTGAGTCTTAGGAGCTCGTTTATTTCCAAATCCCGTTCCAACAGTGATTAAGTGTTTGTTTTGTAGGTTTTTACTTGCGAGGTGAAGCTTGTTAGCCAAAGATGAGACTCCAAATTCGATCCTGTTGTGTTGTTGAGGAAATATGCTGAGTGTGCAACTCTCGATTATTAAACTTGTGTTCAGGCACCCTTGTGTTGTGAAAGCGCGTTTTGTCCCCTGGACATCTTCGTAAAAACCATACGAGCATCTTGCCTGTGATTACTGGACGTCCAAAGTCTTAACTGTGAAAATATTTGTGCGTGTGAATCGAAGTGACATCAAAGGTCATGACTCAACGAGGAATTCTACTCGAGCGTTTGGAGGTGTTGGACAGATCTCGCAGGGGATATTTGTCTAATATTACGAAATTGTGTCATCAACTGGATGAAAATCTCGGAGACTTCAGCAACGTCGTCAAGATACGAACCGTGCAAACTAGCCTTAATTCCGCGTGGGAGCAGTATTGTGTTTGTGTTGAGAAATACGGTGATTTACTCGATACCAGCTGTGAAAGGTACCAAAGAGTCTTGAGCGACCGTGCGGTTCAGCAGTCAAGGATACAGGGATACAATGAGAGAATAGATCAGTTTATTGCCAGTGCCGCTGCCTTTTATAATAGCCAAGTGTTAGAAGAAGTGAAATCAATCAAGGAGTGTACCCCTCCAGGATCTGTGAAATCTAATGGTAGTCGTGTCTCAAAATCAAGTGTGTGTAGCTCCAGGTCCCAAAGGGCAAAAATAGAAGCAGCGAAGGCCCTACTTATGCAGCAACAAGCTGAAGAAAGGAGTAAGAAGCTAGTAGAACTGGAGGTAAAAAGAGTCGAAATGGAGATAAAACGAACAGAACTAGAATTGCAACACCGATTAGAACTCACCAAATTGGAAGCAGAAAGGGAAGTTATGGCTGCTAGAGATCAAGTGGAGCTAGCTAATTTAGAGGCTTTGTTAGCAGAACAGGAAATGGAGGGTATCAAATGGTCTCCAAATCTGGACCTACAGGACTCAAAGCCTCAATCCTCAAGGGTTGGTGCCAATGATGTACCAGTAACCAAGCCATCTCACACATCAACACCAGGATTAGTAAATGCCCAGACTTGTGTGAGTTTTAGAACCCCTACTGTCACAGATGAGGGTACACATGAGACTGTTAAACCCCGTATTCAAGACAACGGCCAGTCGCAACCTGCTGACCCACCCACTGAAGAAACCCCATGCCTCACGAGCACCAACCGCTGTACAGCCACACCCAGTGCTGCTGGTTCAATTATGAATGACAGTCTTGTTGCTATTATGTCTTCAATGGAGAAAATGAGTGCCGCTTATGATCTACCACACGTACAAGTTCAGAAGTTTGATGGATCCCCTGAAAATTACCCAGCCTTTCGTCAGAGATTTAAGCAGTTGGTTGAAACCAGGCCCCTCAGTGATGCTGTGAAAATGACCCGTCTGTTACAGTTCTTGAACGGTCCTGCCCTGACTGCGGTGCAGAGATATGAGCCAATGCCTGGTGGCCTGGCAAAGGCACTCAAGACACTAGAGGAACGGTTTGGCCAGCCATTTCAAGTAGTGAGAGCATGTGTTGAATCTCTTACGAAGGGACCTGCTATACAAGCAAATGATAAGGACAGCCTGCAGCGCTATGCTGATACTGCACAAGTTACCTATGATACCTTAGAGTCAATGGGATACCTTAGTGAGATGAATATAGATAATCTGGAGAAAGTCAGCGCGCGGCTGCCAAAGTGGATGCAATCCAAATTTGCCGAACATTTGAAGAATCTCGAGCGTAAGGGACAGAAGATGCCAAATTTCAAGGATGTTGTAGACTTCCTGAAGGAGCGAGCGTTTGTCCTGAGCCACCCTTTCTTTACTAAGTCAGGAACTCCTAAGGGTTTTACCTATTCTTTAACAGCAACAAACCCTGAATCCTGTGCAATGTGCCATCAACACCATCCACTGTACCGTTGTGAAGTATTCAAATCCAAGTCTCCAAGGGAGAGAAATGACTTTGTAAAACAGAAGAAGATTTGCTTCAATTGTATCAGCTCAACTAAACACAACTCAAAGAAGTGCAAGTCCTTAATCAGGTGCAGGGTAGAAGGTTGTGGGAAGTCACATCACACATTGTTACACTTCACTGAACCTAGAGACAGAGGGAACCAGCAAAGGGACGGTCCTAACGGTGAGGACGTTAATCAAGGCTTAAGGCCTGATCAAGCCACTATTTCTATGTGCTCCACAGTTAATTCGTGTGAAGTGTTGCTTCAAGTCATCCCAGTTCGAGTGATTAGTAAGTCTGGCAACCAGATTACTACCTTTGGTCTACTGGACTCAGGCTCCGACATAACCATGATTGACCCGTCTCTCGTGAAAATGCTGAACATTAAGGGCTCACCAAGTAAGCTGTCACTCACGACTGTAAACAATGCCGATGCAGAAGAAGAGGGCCTGAGAGTTGACTTCCAAATTGCTTCAGTAGATAGCGAGAATGACCATCTGATTGATGTCAAATCTGCCTGGGCTGTAAAGGATCTTACAATTCCCCTAAAGCACACAAAGGTGACAAGGTCTGTTGGGCAGTGGCCACATCTGCAGCAAGTGTGCTTCCCGGAAGTAGAGAGAAGTAAGATTTCTATCCTGCTTGGTACAAACATCCAAGAGGTCTTCATACCGCTCGAAGTTAAAAGAGGTAAACCAAATGAGCCGATCGCAATCAAGTCCTGTATTGGTTGGAGTATACTTGGTGGCTGTCCCAGTGTACCTTCTTCCACTCCTGTGCAAGTCAATCTCATTAATGGGGAGGATGTTACCCTAAGTGACCAGCTTGAAGAATTCTGGAGAGTCGAGTCCTATGGTACGAGCAAGTGTGAAACCAAGCCCCTGTCTGTGGAGGATCAAAGAGCTATGAACTTGATATCCAATTCAATCTGTAAACATGATGGCCATTATGAGATGGGCCTCCTGTGGAAGAGTGACAATCCTGTGCTTCCTTACAACAGAACACTAGCTGAAGCGAGACTGCAACACTTAAAGAGACGCTTCCTTCGAGATCCAGAACTTGAAGTCAAGTATAGAGCTGTGATTGAAGACTGTGTGACCAAGGGATATGCAAGAAAGCTCACAAAGGAGGAAGCAGAAACAGTCAGCAAAACCACATGGTTCCTGCCTCACCACCCAGTAAGCAATCCGAACAAGCCAGGCAGGGTGAGAGTGGTATTTGATGCGGCTGCAAGATTCAGCGGCACATCCCTAAACGAACAGCTAATGCAGGGACCTAATCTGACAAATGACCTATCTGGAGTGTTGATTCGTTTCCGTGAGGAAGAAATTGCCTTCTCAGCGGATATCGAGGGCATGTTTTACCAGACCAGAGTATCCCCAAGTGATACAGATTCTCTGAGGTTCTTGTGGTGGCCTAAAGGTATTGATGAGCCTCCAGAGGAATACAAAATGTTGGTCCATATTTTTGGTGCTAAGTCTTCACCCTGCTGTGCCAACAAGGCGTTAAGCATGACAGCACAAGACAATGAAGAAAATTACCCACCTGAAGTGATCAGAACAGTTCGTAGAAATTTCTATGTGGACGATGTCCTGAAGTCTGTCCCAAATATTGATCAAGCCGTACCTCTGGCCTCAGATCTTATGAAGTTGTTGAGAGAAGGAGGATTCCGTCTAACAAAGTTTGCGAGCAATAGTCGTGAATTGCTAGCCTCAATTCCTCCCGCGTCGAGGGCGAATCCCAAGTTGGACCTAGATCTAGACCAGTTACCCCTAGAGCGAGCGTTGGGTGTCTACTGGGACGCACAGACAGATACCTTTAAGTTCAAGGCCTTACAAGCGTACAAGCCATCCACCAAGCGAGGAGTGCTTTCCGTCGTAAGCTCCCTGTTTGATCCGTTGGGATTTCTTTCACCCTTTGTGTTCACAGCCAAGATTCTGTTACAAGAGCTGTGGAGGCAGAAGTTGTCTTGGGATCAAGAAATTCCAGAGCCGTATTCGTCCCTCTGGCAGAAGTGGTTGCAAGAGCTGCCGTGTGTTACTACAATCGAGATACCAAGGTGTTACAAGGCCCAGTGCCCTAGTGCACAAGCCACTGTGCAGTTGCACAATTTTTCCGATGCGTCAAGACATGGTTATGCAGCAGTGTCTTACCTACGGTTCATTGACGAGCAAGGAGTGATCCACTGTTCCTTCGTTATGGGGAAGACCAGGAATGCGCCCATCAAAGAGTGGACCATACCTCGCCTAGAACTGCAGGCGACAGTGTTAGCGGTACGGCTAAGTAACTCAATTCTGAAGGAGCTCGATCTGCGAGTAAATGAAATCTTTTTCTGGTCAGACTCGATGACCTCCCTTCAATACATCAAAAACCAAACGAAGCGCTTCCAAACATTTGTTGCAAATCGCGTGGCCGAGATCCATGAATCAACCACCCCAGAACAATGGCATCACGTCCCGGGTACTATGAACCCCGCTGATGAGGGTTCACGAGGCGTCGCCATAAAGCATTTCCAACCCGGATGTCGGTGGTGGTCAGGTCCTTCCTTTCTGTGGCAGCCTGTACAACAGTGGCCTAATGCTCGGGTGGAAGACATTCGAAGTGATGATAAAGAAATACGAAAACCAGCCACAATCATGTTCACCACTGAAACGTCCCAAGTCAATCTCCTACTTAAGCGCTATTCGTCGTGGTCCCGTTTGCTGAGAGTTATGTCGTGGGTGCTTCGCTTTGTCAAGGCACTAAAGAAAGAAAAACCTGAATGTATCGTCGGAGGTACACTTACCCTTTTTCAGCTTCAGCGAGCAAGCGAAGTAATTACGCGACTGGTGCAGCGCCAACATTTCCGTGAAGAGTACATGGCTTTGAAAGAAGGCAGACAGGTGAAATGTAGCAGTAGCTTGGCCACTCTTAGTCCGATCCTAACTGATGGCATTATACGTGTTGGAGGAAGAATTCACCGTGTTCCGATTACCTTTGAAGCCGCCCACCCAGTGATTCTTCCAAAGTCAAGCCCTGTGTCTGTATTGATAGTTCGTTACTACCACCATGTGCTGGGCCACGCAGGCCGTGAACATGTGTTGTCCGTCCTCCGCCAGCGTTACTGGATACTGAGAGGCAGAGCTTTGGTGCGTCAGATCCTGAGCAAGTGTATAAGTTGCCGCAAGCGGAACACGTCTGCCTTACAGCAAGCGATGGCTGACCTGCCAAAGGAAAGGCTGGTACCTTATCATCCCCCGTTCACCTTTACGGGCCTCGACTTCTTTGGCCCCTTCTACGTGAAGCGCGCTCGTAGTGTTATCAAAGTGTATGGTTGCATATTCGTGTGCTTTAACAGCCGAGCAGTCCACATCGAAGATGTTAGTTCCTTAGAAACAGATACGTTTATTTTGGCTCTCCGCCGGTTCATCTCTGTTCGCGGCTGCCCTAAGGAAATCTGGTCAGATAACGGCACGAATTTTACTGGCGCTGAGAGGGAACTTCGGCTTTCGGTTCGAGAACTAAATGAAGAACAAATCAGGAGAGAGCTACATTCGTACGATGCGAAGTGGTTCAAATATGTGTTGCCAAGGTGGCGTTTCCAACCCCCTACCGCGAGCCACATGTCAGGCGTGTGGGAGAGGCTTATTAGAAGCGTGCGGAAGGCTATGAATGCTGTCTTGAGCAAACCAGGTCTGCAATCCCTTTGGAAACCCTGCGCACCGTATTCGCCGAAGTCACGTCCATTCTAAACAGTCGTCCCATTTCCCCAGCAAGTGATGATCCAAGTGACATGGAGCCACTCACTCCAAACCACCTACTTCTACAGCGACGAAATCTCGCCATACCCCCCGGTGTCTTCGCCAAGGAAGAGCTGTACTCACGCAAGCAGTGGAGACATGCGCAATTCCTTGCTAACTGTTTTTGGTCGCGATGGGTTCTAGAGCACGTGCCTACCTTACAGCAACGCCACAAGTGGCTACTAAACAAGAGGAATTTGGCAGTGAATGACCTGGTTCTTGTGGTGGACAAAACTGTGCCGAGATCCCGCTGGTTGCTGGGTCGCGTAATGAAAGTGTTTCCTGGTGAAGATTCACGTGTCCGCACCGCCGAAGTGAAGACAAAGGACTCTTCTCTTACTCGTCCTGTGACCAAGCTGTGTCTTCTTGAAGAAGCTGCGTGACGGGTTTGCCGAAGAGTGCACTGAACGTTGCAAGATTGAACTGAAAACATTGTCGTGAACTAACAGTCGGTTTAGAACTTTAACATTGATTAGTGATTGTCTACGGGGGCTCGTTCAGCCCTACCCCCCGGGATGTTGAGGGCAATCCTCAACAAGAGAACATTTTTTTTGTTTTCCTAGTCCGTTCCATTCCGTTTTGTAATTTATTCTCCCAGCATGCTTAGTGAGCGCGTCTCAGTGTCGTCGTGGAGCGAGAAAGAAACCATGTGCTTTGTAACGCGCTAGTCGCCGGGAGTTTCTCATCGTATGGTGAGTCTTAGGAGCTCGTTTATTTCCAAATCCCGTTCCAACAGTGATTAAGTGTTTGTTTTGTAGGTTTTTACTTGCGAGGTGAAGCTTGTTAGCCAAAGATGAGACTCCAAATTCGATCCTGTTGTGTTGTTGAGGAAATATGCTGAGTGTGCAACTCTCGATTATTAAACTTGTGTTCAGGCACCCTTGTGTTGTGAAAGCGCGTTTTGTCCCCTGGACAGGACTCGTTTAACATGATTGTTGCCAATCTTAATTGGAAAGTCTCTTCCTAAGTTAGATAATTTGAAGGTAGTTGTTACGAACATATACTCCGTTTTAGTGACATTTAAGCTTAACTTATTTGCAAGAAGCCAGTCCCTAACGCGAGTTAGGTCATTATTTACCTTGGCATATAGTTCAGCAGTGGATACAGAGGACGCATATATCGTGGTATCATCGGCATACATGTGTGCTTTGGTAAGGAGAAGACATCCAGGGAGATCATTGATATAAATTAAAAACAACAAAGGGCCTAAAATTGAACCCTGTGGAACACCACAACTTATCAACTGGGGCTTAGATACACAGCCCTCTACTACACACTGATAGATAGATAGATACATACATACATACATACATACATACATACATACATACATACATAGATACATAGATAGATAGATAGATAGATAGATAGATAGATAGATAGATAGATAGATAGATAGATAGACAGACAGATAGATAGACAGATAGACAGATAGACAGATAGACAGATAGACAGATAGATGGATGGATGGATGGATGGATGGATGGATGGACGGACGGACGGACGAACGGACGGATGGATAGATAGATAGACGCCTTTCTTTAAAATCAAAAAGTAATTTCCCAGGGTAGTCCATTCAGGGACCTTACAAAGCATACCTGTTATCAATAGGAGCCCTGAGTTCACTAACTAGACTATAAATAATAATAATAATTATTATATTAATTTATTATAATAAAATATATACAAGGTAATATAACAAATGAACTGAAAACAACAAGATCTTTCAAGATTAAGGACATTTACAATAACTATTAAAACCCATACTTCCATGGCCGAATAAAAGGATCTCTTAATTGGCCACGTCTATTCTTATAGCAGGCAGATGCAAGAGATTGCTCTGGCGGGTTGAACGAGCAAAAAGGCTCCTGTTAAAAACTGAGTAGTTCTTAAAATACTGAGGGCACCGATCATGTATACATTTCCTTACAAGTCTTAGGATGTGTTCATCGCGCCTGGGCCTAAGACTTGGCCACTTCAAAGCTTTCATCGCAGTGTCACTACTACTTTTAATTACAATTCTTCCAACGCACTTCTGCAGAGTTTCTAGAGTTCCACTATTTACTTCCCCACAAATCCCCAAGACCCCAGCACAGTACTCTTAAGTCGGTCTAATCAGATCATACATAAAAAAAATGGCATTTGCACAATGTGTGGTGATATAACAGTGAACATGTCCTAACAGACCGACCCGCCTGCCAGCTTTAGACACCATTGCTTGTCTTCACAGTGATAGCAGAATCAGATATTGTTTACACAAAAACACTGCTTGGAAATGGAAGAGAAAACTACAAAGACAAAGAAATACTCATTTTAGGAGGAGGAGATGGCGGGGTACTGCATGAGCTACTGAAGGAGTCCCCAAAATTTGTGACCATGGTCGAGATATCCTTGAAAAACTGTTGCAAGTTAGAAGTCCATCCAAAAAGGTTAAGACAATATCTGATACGTAAATTATCACTAAATTCTGATACAAAAATGTATACACTCAAACATCCCGCTATCCCACCATCTTTCGATATTTAACAATTAATGAACGAGGCTGAGTATCTTATGAAGAATTATGGAGATCGAGGACGGTGTTATCCGTCGAGGCCGTAGGCATATGATACGAAAACCGAATTCAATAATTGCAGACCTGCCAACCCCTGATAAAGGAAAATCTGGAGACCCATGAAAAAAAATCTGGAGATTCTATAAAAAATAGTGAGAATCTATTTTTTTCCCGATGAAGATTAAACAAACCCCTTTTCCATCGAGGAAAGTCATTAACAGTTTATTTTTCGCCATGTTTATACGATTGCGATCGCTTTCCCGCGCTGAACTTACAAAGACTACTGGGAAACTCAACATGGGAGACGCCTGGGAATTAAACCTCGTTCCCAGGGCCTACTCCCATTTCAAAATGGCGGACAGACACGAAGAAAAATGATTAAGTTTATTGAACACAAGCGAAAATCACAGCTGGGTACAAAAAAGTAAGAACAGTGTTCTTCTTTATTAGTTTTTCACTTTATGGCACAAGCATTCCTCGTTAATTTCCCATTTTTATTCTGATTCAACAACTTAAATCATTTCAGAATGATTTTTCCCAAAACCCGTGAGATTGAGGAGCCTTGTCGTGAGACCGTGAGAAATGATAAAAAATCGTGAGACTCACGGCAGAACCGTGAGAGTTGGCAGGTCTGTAATTGTTTTATTATTCATTCAAAATAATTCCTAGTTTAAAAACAGGGCTAAAACATGCTTACCTCCATCAATCCAGTGATGTTAAGTTTATCTTCGATAGTGCACGTTTAGGATTGTTCAGCTCCGCAAATAATCTCCAAATAGCAGATGTCGCCCTTCGAGTTGTCTTCTTGTTGTTCTTGCCTTGTTTTTAGCTATTATTTCGCCTAGTTCTTACTCTTGAAACGAGTGAAATGTCCGCCATTTTTCAAGTTCACAACTAAAACAACTCAACCTCGTCCCCAGGTCTTCTCGGTTGACGGTGCATTAACTTGCAAGAACGCTGCATTTTGACGTCATTTACAAGCTAAACACAAAATTCTTCCAAATTTGGACAACAGTAAATGGTTATGGTGAATTAAACGTGTGCTTTTAGCGAATCAGAATCGGGAAAATATTTTGAATGAATAATAATTAACAATTAATGAATGAGGCTAAAACATGCTTATCTACATCGATCGATCGATGTTTAGTTCATCTTCGATAGTGCACGTTTAGGGTTGTTTAGCTCCGCAAATATTCTCCAAATAGCAGATGTTGCCCTTCGAGTTGTCTTCTTGCTGTTCTTGCCATGTTTTTAGCTATTATTTCGCCTAGTTCTTACTCTTGAAACGAGTGAAATGTCCGCCATTTTTGTTTCCACGACCAAAACAACTCAACCGCTTCTCCAGGGCTTCTCGGTTAACAGTGTATTGACCTGCAAAAACGCTGCATTTTTGACGTCATTTCCTCGCTAAACACAAAATTCTTCCAAATTTGGTCATCAACAACTGGTTATGGTGAATTAAACGCGTGCTTTTTGCGAATCAGAATCAGGGAAATATTTTGAATGAATAATAATGTATATTATCTTTAATGTATTATAAATTTCTGTGTGCTGTTGTTGTATTTGTCGTTAATGGCAAAAATAAATGACTGACTGAATGAATGAATGATCGTGAATGGCAATTACCGATTAGCGTAATAATTCGTGTAACTGATTTTCCTTGACTTGCCATTACATAGATAAAATTGTTGTCGAAGCTGCAGCGAAGTACTTGCGAAGTGTTTGCGGTGACACTTTAGATTCGCATACAGGACCTAACTATGAAGTAAGTATTAACCAACCTTACTGAATTTACAGTGTCTCTGATCGAGTGTTGCAAACCTGCAGTAAAAAGCAACTGGCCAATTAACAGGAAAAAGCCATTAAGAGAAAGTATAAATAACACAAAAATACAAAAGGAGGCGCGAAAGAACAAACTTGAAGAAGATCAAAACAGATTGCAATTGTTGTGCTTTTTTGAAAACTTGTTAGCCTAACAGTTTTTCAAAGTTCATTTTTGTTTTTTACAACGTTTGAGATAATACTTGGAGGACATATTTGTTTGGCGCGAAGCTGTGATTTTAAGCAAACAAAGACGTGTAATTGATGACACATACCCATAAGGTGGCTGAACACAGTTTTGGCAGTTTGTGAGTATATATCATTTGCCAAATCATGGCAAGAGAAAGGTTGCAGCCCACAAGCTGAAACTTGGCAAGTGAACAATATACTGATGAACGATTTGAATGACAAGTAAAATTTGACGTTTTCGTAGTTTCCATGTCAACATGAACGATTGAAAACAACCTTAAAATTTCACTTTTGCCCAGTTTACAAAACATTTGCTCACTAGATTTTCCCATAAACTTGCACACAGCTTACTATAATTAATCATTACCATTTGAAACTTATTTGGCCAAATTTAAACAGACGGGTTTTTAGATAATCAATAATATAATTGTACTGTAGTTATTAAATGTGTCAAAAATACGTCTGTTAAACTTCCATTTTAAAGTTCTCATTATTGAAAATACCATAAAAGTAAAAATTCTCCCAAATATCACAAAATGTTAATAAGTAGATTTTGAGAAATCGTCCTCTGTGTACTTTTGCTTTTTCGCCGCCATGTTTGTTTGTCTAATTTAAATCACGCACCGTCACGCGAGTTACCGCTGACCGCCCGCAAAACTGTGTTCAGCCATCTTAACTGTAGTCAAAAGTACCAGTCATAACTGCGTATCGTTACACGGGATCAAAAAACGCCAAAATATGGCAATAGATGTATCAACCGTTTTTTTTATGAACGTTATCTCCAATTAGACCTCTTCCGTCGAGCAGTTTTCTCTTCAAAGTTTTTTTTCTCCAAAGTAGCCAATTAAAAAAACTACTTAGTGCGACCATTGCCTTTTTTCTCTTCTCTTCCTTTCATCTTCCTCGCTCTTTTTTTCCCTTTCCTTTTCGTCCTTTGATCAAATTGCGTTTTGTGCATTCCGTTCATTCTTAGTTAAGTCCAAACGAATGCTGGCTACATAGATGCGACGCATGCGTAATAACAACCTGTAGATTAGGATTGCGGGCTCCTCTTGTCACCCACAATAACTAGTAGTAATCATAGTTCAATGTATGCGTTGGCGTTTTCTTCGATTTACCAAGACAGGATGACAGGATAATCAAATAGTGTACCACAGGATAGAATAGGAATTGTGTTCTCCTAACGTCAAACGCAAAGGGGCCTCGCGGTTGTGGAACGTACAGCTTTCAAGAGCTCTCTCGTGCACATACCTCGTTTGCTTTTGACCTCACAGCGCAATCTTATACTACTTATGATACAGGTCAGGTTTGATGACTGTATAAAGGCACTCAAGGAGTACGTGGAACTGGGAAAGACATTTGATTACGTGATCAATGATCTTACAGACATACCAATAAATGTCTCTTTACAAGGTGAGTGCAACAGTTAAGTTAGACAAGAACGATGCTCGCATTTGAACCAAACGCTTTCAAACAGACCACAGTTGATTTTCGGTGAGTGGAGAAGCTATATGGGATGTGGTTTTAGCCTGCGAGCAAGCTCTCCGGGGCGCTCTGGCGGCGGGGCGGGAAAAGGAAGGAGAGCTTGCAACTACGTCTCTGAATTTGAATTCCACCTCCAATTCCCTTGTGGCTCCCAGTCGACTGGAGCTGTCAGAATTCTGCCGATCAGCGCGAAGCGGAAACGAGCACGAATGTATTATTTTATCGAAGAAGAGAAGAAGCAACTGAGAATAAATACATTTACTATTGCGTCACAGAAAATACAGCGTCCTCGAGTTATTAAAACCAAAACGACATGTACCAGAAAACTTCAAATCTATTTATTTGAACCCTAAGTCTTGTCAGTGTCAGTCATTAGTTGATTCAAAGCAAGGTTCGCACTTCTCCTACTATCTTTAAGCCTTTTTCAAAGGCGGCCCTGAAAAACTATTTGAAAGTGAAGGCAAAAAAGGTTTCAAATCCCAGGATAGAAAACTTATGAGCATACACAATCTTGTTAAAGATTCCGCGATGGAATCGAAAACCTGTGTATGCTACTGAGTTTTCTATCCTGGTTTTATAACCTCCTTAACTCTTAAATATCGTATTATGATGGATGAAGCGACCCTTTTTTCGCTAATACTTGAAAATTATCTTTTTTCCCACTAACTTCCGTGTTCCTGGATAACTACTGGAATTACATAAATCGCCGTATTCATTCTAGAGGACTCTAAAGCGTTTGGTTGCAACTGTGACGTTTAGTTCGTTCGTCCCTTCTTCTTTATACTAGACGGTTTAACCCTCTTAATCCCAAGAGGGATCAACATCAGTTTTCCCTCAACAATATTAATACATGATCAAGAGATAGGTTATGACAATTAATCAATGCAGACCAAAGGGAAAATGCTTTGATCTTTTAACAAATTCTCTCAGCTAACTCTGTTAAGGAAATGTATGAAGATCAGTCTGGAGAATTTGTATGGGGATCTTGGGGCTTAAAGGGTTTAACGTCTGACACCCCTAAGACATTCCTTCAGTACTTGTAAACTGCACCTTAAGCAGTCTGGCAAAGTCCCCCAACCGGTGTTGTAAATTATCCCTGAAAAGCCCTGAGGGGAGTGGATAATAAGATAATTACAATTACAATTACAATTACATTCTCTAAGATTAATTCGGCTATTAAAAGTGACATGGCTGTAAGAATAGAGGCTGCGGAATTTTTCCTTACAAACCCTATTTACGTATTAAGGGCGTTTGTTTGGCAATGGAATCGGTTGTATTCTGGGTCCTGGAATTTAATGATTTGTAACCTGGAAGACTCCTCGAATTTTTGTCTCCCTCGGTACGAACTCTGTTAACCGGCCATACGCCCCAGGGAATTTTGCCGAAAACGCGTTTTGAAGCTAGTCAAGCGATTTTCTAGCCACTCTCTAGTCACTCTCTGACTACAAGGAGCTAAAACTTACCACAAAGCTGTTTACAGGTCATACACTTCGTGGCCTTCTGATCCAGACTCAAAATATTAGCTGTCGAAGTTCGGGCATGCGCAGAAAGCAAAATTTCGAGATTTTCTGGTTTAAAAGTGAATTGTTTGGCGGGGGTGGGGGACGAATTGTGTTTTGGGCAACGTAAAGTCATGGTGAATTAACTACACAACCCGTTGGTGTAGCACGTATTATGTTTTTGCACCACTAGGTCGTCAGGGAGAGGCATTACCTCCGTCTCATGTTCGTAAAAGTCATGGTAGAATTTAACACCTTCATTTTCGCGCTGAAACCGCTTATCTCCATCGTGAAGCCAGTCGCGTTAAAAATTAATTCATCGTCAGTTCCGTTGTCATTGTTGTTGTTGTTGTTGTTGTTGTAGCTGTTTTTGTATTTGACAAAAGTTCAGAGCATGAATCAATAGCGCATGTGCAGGGGGGATTTTTCAAAGGAAGAGCGGATTTAACATTGTGACACACCCAAGGTACTCACCGTATTGTCTTGTCGACTTCTATGCCGTGTTTTTAAAAAAGGCCTTTTTTTCGGGTGAACAGCGAGCGTGGGAGGAGCGAAAAGCCTACGGGATAGCTGCATACAGGACTTTCGAAGCGAGAAGAACCGAATATGTTTTCTATACAAGAACTGCTGACGAAAATATTTTGATACGAAGAAATATTCAACAAATTCAGCCTTTAAACGATGGTTTCTGGGAAAGAGATACCTCTAAACGGTAAGGGGGTAACCTGTAAAGGACTCCCAGGCCACTCCCCTGACATGTTAATTAAAGTCAATTATCATTCGATGCAAATTTGTCTTCTTTTTCATTGGCCGAGAGTCCACCAGGTGACCTAAATAACTGCCTACAAAGAATGGTCTGCTCATGTGCAATGTCGTCCAACTGTGTTTGGCTGCAAATACTATACTGCTCATGCGTAAATGAAAACACACACTTCTCTCTATCTCTCCCTCTCTCTCCTCTCTCCCTCCCTCTTGCGATCGCTCTTGCGTGAAAATGGCAGATCGCTTCGCAAGTCATTAAAAACAAACTCGGTGATCAACTATTTTCCTTATCCCTCTGCTAAGGAAAATACCTGATCTGCTTGCCAGTGACAAATCACGAAATTTGCTCAACCTCGTCCAATAATTTTTAATTAATACTATGTACTATCAGAAACTCTCTCTCTCTCTCCACCGTAGAGGTTCCCGCTGGGTATACCAATAAAAATAGCACAAAGAGGCCTCTGGGGAGGGGAGAGCCAGAAACTCATAAGGGGTTGAACCCAGGGGCAATATCCGCCCTGGGTTCAACCCCTAATGAGTTTCTGGTACTACAGACCAGGTACTGTAAGGTTTTGGAGATCTTAACTTGTGTTGTTCTTATTATCCTGCTCCAATATATCAATCAGTCCATCAATGCCAGACATAGTTTCAGCGAAAAAACCGAGGTCGGCTTCAAAAACTCTGTCAACATCCGCTGCAGCCAGCACGATTACTTTTCCAGGGCCTTTTTCATTGACTTCTTCTGCCATTGCAGACAGGTCTTTTCTTTTGCATCGCAGAATTTTGCCCTTTGACATCAAGGACTTGGGCAAGCCGAGCGCTGCCATGTAAGGCGCTATGAACAACTGCGGCAGTACCGATGGGATCCGGGAGTTTAGATCTACCAGGTAGCATCTTCCTTCCTTCTCTAGTATCTCAATATTGACTATTCCAAAGTACCCAGTCGTATAGAGGAAGGTTTTGACCGGTAAAATGAATTCCTCATTAACCGCTTTCTTTAAAAACTCCTGCTTGTTCCAATCATCCATTCCTGCAACCCATTTGAGATCCTTTGAAATTGTCCCGGTCAAGTTGCCCAACCAGTGGACATCTCCAGACACTGGGATATATTCTTGCAAGATATACTTTCCCGTCCAGAAGCACTTATCACTAATCTCTACCACGATTTCTTTTCGCTCTTGTGAATTGTGAACTAGAGAGTTTCCGCGTCCAGCGCTCGATTGATCCACTTTGACCATGCAGGGGAAATCAATGTTGCCCTCTTCCATAAGTCGAGGAATCGGCACTCCTATTCGCGCTTTTGCAAAGCAACTCCGCATGCAGTTCAGGATCAGTGGCATGCTTCTTTGCTGGTAGACACTGCAACGGTCCAGTGGCTACAACTAGGGTGTCGTCCGCAAAACCCTCTTCGGTGGATTTTACCTCTCCGGTTGTGAAAACCGGCAGCCACTTGTTCCAGTGATTTAATTGGAGACAACAACAATAACAATCTAGACTATTCTTAGCACGCATTAAACAGATTAGTAATATAAAGAACGAAATTGAAATAAAAAAAGATAAAAATTTCAGGCAATCCGCTGTTCGCATTAGCTAGTCAGGGCGAAAGTTGAAAAAGAAAATATGTTCATCTATCATAATTCTGCGAACAGAGCATTGAATTTATTACGACAACTGACATTTACAGCGGAAATATCGGCTAAAAAGACTTCCCGTTTTAGGGATTTCTCGGTTTTAAGTAGGCATGTAGGGTAGCATTTAAATGATTTTTAACCTCTCGGCATATAAATTTGAAACCCCCAACTTTTAAATTCATCCTCGATTATGAGAGCTCGGCGATTACAAGAAGCGTTTCCAAGAAGTCTACTGCCGTTTTGAAATCAGGAGAACGCTTCGAGCAGCCAAAGATGAAAGACACTTGCTAAGGTTTTTAGCGACTGTTAATCATTGTCTGTTCCTGAGACCCTATCATAGCTGGATTCATGGAGAAATGTTTGAGATTTAAAACTCTAAAATGAACTTCAAGGAGGCAATTTGTTTTCTTTCGACGCTGCTATCGATGGGTGAGTGGAGCCACAGTTGTTGTGATGTCGGAAACTGCCAGTATTAATATAATATTTGCTTTTTCTCAGCGCTGGAGTTTTCATTATTTCATTTGGCCTACTACAAGAGTCATCGTAGCTCTTCTTCGTCGGCTTCATCGTACTCGTCGTTAAGGAAATTTATACCTCCGTGGCCTGTGACATTGACGATATGTTCTGAACTTGCAATCTTTGCTTTCCTCAGCTTCCTGACTGTTTTCTTGCAGAATGATTCGTAAACTTTTTTCTCACTTTCTTTAAGGCTAGTAGCAGCTACAGATACTTTCATTATGTGAGTTATGGTATTTTCGCCCATTGGTTTAGTTTGGACCTGATGTTTAAATTTTCGGTTTCGTTTGCTACTGAGGTAGAAAAAAAAAACAGACCATCGCATGGATGTTTTAATAGAGGTCTTCGCTCCACAAAAGACTCAAAGAGATTGAAATCCCTGTTGTTATCATGGAATTGTATCCTTGTTCATTTAAGTGCCTGAAGAGTGTAGCTGTCATGGTTTGCGTGTGGTTGCAACCGTTTTTGTTCCTTATTTTTTTAACTTTAGCGTAGTCTGTTATAAGTAGCTTGTTTTTTAGTTTCTCTGGCTCATTTTGCTCGATTTTGTTGACAGCATTTTTCTCTTAGCAACCCATTTTCAAAACATTTAGCCAGAAAGGCATACTTTTTACTGTGTTCCGGTTTTTGGAATATTTTTTTAACTCTTCTCTTGTTGTTTTGCTTACAAAAGTAAATCCAGTCGTCGTCTGCTGAAAACCGTGGCCATTTTCTTGAATTTTTGTTGTTAAAACAGCTCTAATCTGATTGGTTCTTGTTGGTTTCTTTTGTATTTTCAGGCAATCAGAAAACATTTGTAATTTGCACTCGTGTTACAAGTTTGCACTGGTGTTACACATTTTGCACTCGTGTTACAAAAAAGCTGTACTCCTTTCTCAGCCAATCTGAATTGAGTAATTTTTTCGTGTATATTATTAATACATTTAGCCAGGGCTAAGAGCGAAGCGTGCGTTCGGCAAGTTTACTTTAAAAACTCTTGCCAAAAAATCTGGTGGCGTGTAAACCAGCCTTTTATACTATTTATACATCACATTTGAGGTGGAACAGTACTATGAGGCGCTGTTTTTATCATACAGATCTCGGACAGAATGCAGTATTTCACAATTTTGCAATGCAAGACAAATATTGCACTCATTCAATCGTACCTGAGCCCGCGAGACAATCAGGTTATACTTATCAGCAGATACACTGTTTTCACAGCTGTCAGCTGATCACAACATTGGTGGAACATTGATTTGCAATATGTGTGCGATATCAGTTTGCTCCTGGGCTCCCAAACTAGGTAGAAAGTGTGCGATTAAACATTGGTTTCCTTGTTGTGCGGACGGATGGGCGCTCGGTGTACGATCACGTGATTACCAAATTTTCTTTTATGGGTAAATTTACTTACCCATGGTGCTCCGCTATTATCAACAGACATCGGTGAGATATGTAACATAAAGAGCGTAAGTAAAATAGATAAAGATAAAAGTTTAAAAGCCTTAGTAGGCTTCATTTTGGTGGGAAAAGTTTAGGATTAGATGAAAGGAAATCTAGGTGAGTAGGGAAACAAGATTTTCATGAAAAAAACGTCCCTTGCTATTTCTTTTAGATTCTAACTGGGATTTTGTTCGGGAAATATCAAACCTGACACTTCAAGTCTTAAAACCAGGAGGAAAATTTTTCGCCCAGGTAATAGAATACGAGGTAACAATAGTTTGCTCAATGTCGCTCATCCTGCCAACAGAGTGTTTCTTTCGCTTAGTACAAACATGAACTACAAAGGACTGCAAAGGACCGCAAACGAATATGCCGAAGAACGTGGGATCAATGAAGACCTTTGCAGTCCTTTGTAGTTAATGTTTGTCCTTTATGTATTTTGGGGGCGTAGATCTTTTATAGATCCGACATGCTGTAATTCTTGCATGGTTCTGTCCATGTGTTAGAGGTTGGTTTTGGCCTACCCTTTATTTTCTCTGCGAGACATCAACTTGACACTTGGACTCTTGCCCCACAGACGACACGTGGTATGACGTGATGGCTGTGGGTGTTGAGAGTTCTAGGTCAGGGCTTAAATCAGAGTGCGCGGATATTCTTCATCAGAGCTTTCTCTGGTTGTTGCGCCATACTTACGAGCCCTAAAAAGGGCGAAACAGCTGTCTATGGCTACAATGCCGCTCTGTTTTGAGTTCTTTCGGTGTAGTGTTGACGTCTTGCAGACTTAATTTTCACATAGTACGATCAACATTGCAGTATTCTGCTTGCAAAATTTAATATGTTTTCTTTCGCTTGCTCGATTTTGCCGTACTCGAGAAAGACTCTACATCAATCGAGTAAGATCTTTCTTGAGCATGAGCGGCATGTCGCTAGGATACAGTTTCGAACCCAGGCCTAGTAGCCTTGCGCTTGGTATGACCATCAGTTACGACCATCAATAAACGGATGTTCTCACCCGAAAAACCAGTTTCACGAGAGAAAACGAGATTGACCTATTCCAGAAGTTTGGGCTGCAGCCAGTTCAAAAACGTGACGCGATTAAGGCAAAGCCTCCTTTTCTCTCCAAAAAGAAGACAAAAGTAGCCTCTGTTCGCGGGGTGAATACCGCACTGTTGAGGTAATTCGTGCGTAGTGGATAGTCCGTTCACTCTTAATAGTGGCCAGTGAAAAAAATTCGCAAAAGAAATTATTGTTGTAAACTACAAAATCCGCTGGATAGTGATTTATCCTATGCGATGGATAGCGTTATGTGCTGTTTAAAAAACGAGCAGGAGTGTATTACAACTAGAGCCAGCTTTACTATAATTGTGGGGTTAATTTTGTAATTGACTGCCATCCCATGGGTAAAAGGTATCATCCAATATTTTTTTTTTCGAAATTTGCAACTTTTAGATAGAGCCCGTTGAGAACTTACTTTTTATGCTAATCATTTGTTTCAAGAAAAATCTATCCTCCCCTGTTTTCTTGCACTGAAAATCGGGCCAAATTGAGCGTACATTTTGAGCGTACACTTTAAGCTCCTGACTTATTATCCCTAACTTCATCTGCTTATAACAAAAGAACAAACGCACTTGACAAAATTTGACATATAATTTTTTAGCCAAAATTTTCAAGAACTCAATGCGCTCTCCATCGGTTTCTTCCATTTACTTTTGGCTGGCGTGGACTTAAACTTACAGATACATACACTTTCGCAAAAAAAAACACCTTTCTGAAACGCGTTCACATTTTGGATTTTTTAAAGAAATCAGCCATAATCTGGAACTATTAGGCTTTCAGAAATTGAACGGTTTGTTGGGGTATTTATTTAAACTACAATACCTAGCGCGGTCCACGTGAGGACAGACCTACTGCAGGTGCTGCATAGCTGAAATCGGTTAAACTCCTGCCTCATTGCTTCTCATGGGCTCATTTGCTCCTTTCGTAACTCTCGAGGAAATCTGAGTTAACGGCAGTCTACGTTTAACCGTGGGTAACGTAATTCTCTTTTCAGGGTACAAATGGTGCTCTGTGCAAAAAGGAGATAGAACAATATGAAGACAGCCTCAGGAACCTTTGCTTCCCAGTTGAGTTTAAAAGAGAATCTACTCATGTTCCATCGTTCGAGGACAGGTATCCTTTGGAAACTTTGTCTCGTAGTAAAACAAACAACTTTTTCTTTTTCTTTACATGGAAGGTTTATTCAATAGAGAGGGGAAGTGTGTCGTCAGCAACGAGAACAGCAAAAACGTTATACGTATATATTAGAAAAACAATAACTTTGCACGTGCATCATGCTTTTTTCTGCATGTCTTTGCCGTCGTTGCACGACTGCGATATGAAAATTACTAATTTCACGCGCCTGCTTTATGGAGTAGGTGAACACAACGCAAAAATTTTCTTTTTCTTTTTTTAAACTCTGATAAGGTCCTTTCAGATTCAACCCCCAAAAAAAAAAAAAAAAAAAATAATAAAAATTTCGCCAACATTATTAGACAAATAAAAGAGAAATTGAATAAGACCGATGAAGTTTGAAACCGTGCGAATTCACTTTTTAAGTGACGTTTTCGGTTTTTTGTCATCCGAAAATTTTGCTATGATGGCAACCTGACATAACGACTTCTCCTCTCTATTAAAGTAGTTTGTTGGGTAGCATTTGATAAAAAGGTGTTTTTTGTTCGAGCGTCATAACGTTGCGAAACCGGAGTAGTCAGGCTGTCCAATCAGAATGGGTCTGGCTAATCCAATTAGCCAATTGTGTAGCGGCCAAATAAGGCAGGAAAAGTCATGTTTCCAAATTGACACTTTGGTTCTACTTCTGATTGGTCAAAAAATATAGCGATGGATTTATTAGCTAACCACAACGCTGTCTTTTCATTTCTTTTCTCTTTGCTTTTTTTGCTATAATCTGTTTTCGTCCTTGACACGGATGTTTATCAGCTGGACTTTCTATGAAGTTTGGAGAAAGTAAACAGGAGAAGCAAAGAATGCATGACTAAAGTTAACAAACCAAAACACAATCTGGAAGCAAATCTTTTAGATAACTTAGTTAGTGTCAATAGAACTGAATAGTTAAGCCTGGTTCACTATTGTACGATAAGTATTTATCTTAAGCTGGTTCTGGCTTGCGCATTATGCTAAGAGTTGTGCTTGTGCATATGTCAAGCCGGTTCTCACTGGATTTTTTTATACTTAATCTCGTGCCCAGACCTCTTTTTGACGAAGAGATCTGATCCTTATATTTTGAATGTTACGCAACAATGCCGATGCTCGCCGATGCTCATATTTCGAGCTTGGGCTACCTGTGGTAAAACGTCACATTTTTTAACAAGATTTAGGCGGCATCTCGGTAGAGTAATTGAGAGAGATTTGCGTTCTTAGCTCACGAGTTATCCAGAATAAGCGCGCGTGGCCTACATGACTCAAGCTTTGTCTTTCTGGTCTTTGCCAGTATTAAAATGTAGCGTAGTTCCATATTGAATTGAATGTACGCACTGAGGGGCGCAGAACTCAAATAGAATCGGACGAATGTTGCTAGATAAAAGCAAATGTTTATTATGTAAAATCCGCAGTCCGTGAACACACAGCATACTACTCATGAAGGAAAGATGGATGCCAAAGCAAATTGCAATCATTGATCTCCGAGGCTTTGTGTGTGCTGATTCAACGAATTTCTTTGGCGTGAGCTTGCTAAACTGCAGTTTCCACACTGAATCGCGTGTCACGCACGCGCTGGTGCGTTGGGTTCGTATTTTTATGGCATCTCTCTCTCTCTATGATGGAATCTTGTACATTCAACGCACTATAGTTAAAAATTTAACCAAAACAATGGAAATATTAATTGACCTTTTCTTTATATGGAAGTAGTGTGACATTATGATTTGACCTCTGATCGAATACATGTAAAGCCAGCATTGCATTCTTGACATGAACGTAAAGGACGGTGTGTGCGTCTGTAGATTTTGATGACATTACGAGAAGAAGACGGTCTTCCTATGCCTTCAAAATGTTTCTGAGCCTAACGATATTATGATAAACGTGTAAGTGGTAATATTCATCAGCAGTCGGGTAGGCATTTTGATGTTAAAAACGTTAGATCTTCTAATACGACTGCATTTGTTTGGTGACTATAAAAAAGTACTATATATTCGCTGTGGTCACACTGCAGACTTTTTACCTAGGTAAACACGACTTGTTGACAGTTTACCTAGGGAAACTTGATTTTTTAAGTGTGACCGATTTTTCCCTAGGTAACTTACCTCGGGGAAATTTTATCGTCTGGGTCTTCGATATGTCTCGAAAACAATAGAGTTTTAACCTTGACAGCTACCCCAAAGCAATAGCTAGGGAAAAATGAAATACCGAGGTTGCTAGCCAATAGACGTTCATCGGCGAAGGTCTTGATGACAGAACCGGAAAAAGATCACGCTGTGAAAGAAATTTTGGGGGCACGAATCGTCTCCTTCTTCGCCTTTCTTCAGCTTGCACGTTGAATTAGCGTAAGAAATATTAGTGAAATAAAAGAAAAAAACGTCTCTTTGATCAGCTTGATCCCTGCGCATTTTGCCTTCTAGAATTGACGCTCCAGAAAATTCAACTGGCGTGAAAACTTCGGGAGCCGATATCAGTAGTGTGACCTTCCTAGAATTTTTACCTAGGTAAAACAAAACCCGAAATGAATTTATCTCGGGATATTTTTGATGAATTTGCCCTAGGTAAATCAGTTTTACCTCGGTAAAAGTCTGTAGTGTGACCACAGCTATTATGCATGATCTGCTGTTAATGATGTAAAGCGTGTGCAAAATGGCTACATAAAAAATTTCCGTTATTTAATGACGACGGGTTGCGGAAATACTATTGTTAGTAGATGAAGAAGTCATAGTAGAGGCCAAATGGATTCGGTCGAATAGTGAAATCGCCATCCCGCCAAAACGTGTCCAAAGCCCGCCAAAAATTACCAAATCTCGCCGCTGCCGCTATTTAACTCTTTATCCAGTGTGTTTTTAATAGGAGATTTTCTTGTAGGAGACCCTCCGCTAGTTATATTTTTCGGTATTTATTAGTAAAAGATTTGTTTTCTCGTTACAAATAAAACACGCGTAGCAAAATTCCTATTTTCGGCACTTTTAGTACGTCCTGGAAACTGGAAAGCACAGCACGAAACCGTTTATTTGGAAGAAGCCTTTTCTTTTTCTTTTTGATATTTATTTAGAACAATACTGTTGCGATCCGTTCACGGAGAATCTCTGTTAATGCGGTTACATTTCGAAAACAATATTCTTGTGGTCTCGCGTTCTACTCGCGCGCGTCCTTTTGCTTTTAATCACCTGGAGACGTAAGTAAAGTGGCCTAGTGTTCTGAAGTTGCTCTGTTTAAAAAGACATTTGTAATTTTTAAAATAAAATCGATGATGTATTTACGGAGGTTCCGGTTATCGTTTGGGGACAAAAGCATATTTTGATTGTGTTAATGTCTCCTGTCGGAATAAAATGTCATATGAATTAGCGAGATGACGTGGGAGTAATAATTTCCACAGACTCCCACGCAGACGGACGTTCTTAGGGATTCTTCACGCGTTTCTGCCCCACGAACGTCTGCTGACTTGAGCGGAAAAAAACGTAGACCAGTCACAGCAGACTTCCAAATATGGAAAGTGCACTTTTGACCTTGAGAAATTTCGCGCTTGACTATATAGCTTCAGAAAAGATCAGAAAGGTCGCATGAAAGGTGAAGACCTTACAGTTTTAGAACAAACTACTCAGTTAACTCATACGCGTTCGTACAGTAATGGCTACCCTCAGAATCTGTTTGAAAAAAATTACCTCGGAGATTAAAGTCGGCTTTCCTACAAAACTATAACGTGTGAAAAAAAATTCTGCCTTTTGTTCAGTATTACAAGGTAACCACGCCTTTGCATCCCCCAAAGAACAACTTTATGAGCAAATGGCATCTAATCTAGCCTTTACAGAGAGAAATTTACCAAAAGCCAACGCTTGTCTCCTATATTCTCGTCAGGAGCAAAAATCTTTGGTCACGTATCACACTATACAGAGCTTGTACGTATATGTTTGGCTTGTCAACACTTTGACTTCAACAGCGCCAATTGGAGCTCCGATAATCTGCATGTGATCTAGGCTCGATTTCCGCCGTCTCCCGGGTCCGGTCTTTGATCCTGGGGATGAGTGCGGCCTTATTTTCCCGAACAGCGGCTAGTAATCGAGCCTACATGTGATCTCCAGCCGATATTTGCGAACAATGGAAAAGGAATTTATTATATAAATACCAATGAAATACCAGGTGAGCTTTCGCGCCAAAACTTGGTGTCTTCACATGTGAAAATAACGTGTTGTCTTCACATGTGAAAATATCACCTTTGCTATGGCTACATAATATATAAATCGCGCCTTTCACACCAAAAAAACTATTAAAGTGAAATGGTTTGGTATTTCATTGATGTTTACATAATAAATAGAACATTTCATGGCCGCTTGGAGATACGAAATTTCTCTTCTCGTGTTGAAAAATGTTTCAGGAGTGAGCGCAGCGAACGATTGAAACATTTTTCAACACTCGAAGAGAAATTTCGTATCTCCAAGCGGCCATGTAATATCCTCTATTTATCTTTCAGTTCAGTAGACGTTCGTGGGGCAGGAACGCGTGACGAAACCCTAAGAACGTCTGCGTGGGAGGCTATAAGTTCCAGGGGTTTCTCATGGTTCTCGACCTTCGGTCCTGCACTATGTTGTCAACACTTCCTTTGTTTTATATTACGCAATCGGTCAATTCAGATGACTGTCGTGCACGTTTCTAAGGCTTGCGGGTCATCATGATCGTGACTAAACAAAGGTATATTTTTAGGGGGTGAGGGGTGGGGAAAAACTGTGCGCTCCAAGGTCGGCTGGGACAGCCCATTAGAAAGTGGGGGGTGCGAATTTTCAAGCCGCAGGAATTTTTTTCGTTATCAAATTCCTTGTATGATTTTTTTGAGGCTATAGCATAAATATTTTTTAAGGGTTAATTAGCGTGTATGAATTTTTTTTCATTTAATTTTCCCTTGCGCGAATATTTTTTTGGTACTTCGCACCCCCCACCCTCCATACTGTAGCGGTTAGAAAATACGCGAAAACATACCGCGCCAACTCT